ACAATCCAATGGAATTTATTCAAAAATAAAATCATTTTTTGGATTTTAAATTTATTATTACTAATTATTATTTGTTTGTTTATTTGGCATAAATAAAAAAAAGGGAAAAAAGCCATTTGTTTTCAAAAACCCCAACTGAATCTTGTTGTTGTTGTTGTTGTACAGTGCATGGACAAAAGTCGGTGCACTTTTAAACAAAAATTGCACAAAAACATATTTAATAAAAAAACACTATTTTCACCAAATTATGTGTCATCTATAGCATTTTTATTAATATTAATATTTGACGAATAAAACCAAAATTGGCCATTTTCTCCAAAAAAAAATTGATATAATAAATAATAATGCTCGAAAATTTAAGTTTTAATAAATAATTGATAATAACAGGTATATATAGTATTTTTTTGAATTGCATATTTTAATTTTATTCTAACATTATATGAATTTGCTAATGATAATAATACTGGAGGCATTATTTATTTAATATGTGATGTGAAAAAAAATTTAAGGTTTGCCGATCTTGCGTGACTCGTTGAAACATGGTTGACATCACATGTTTAAAGGGAATTTTGAAACTAATGAAAATTTTTACTACGAAAAGTACAATTTCTAATCAAAAATTTAAAGTGAAGGAAGAGTTGTAGCATTAACTTTAGTTTGCTTTTTCACATTATGGTCCATTGAAAATCCCCCCATTTGGGCGGATTTGACTCCAAATTTTATCAAGTTTCTAAGCTAAAAATGTTATTCACAATGAGATAGATACACATAGAAATATCATTAATGACAATCAACCTATGTATTATTGATTTTAAAAGTTTTCTTGGGTATAGACTATTTATTTAAAAATCTAAATGATAATAAATCAACTAGGCGATGATAACTAATAAAATATTTGACGAATATAATAGTTAATTATTAAATTATTAAAAGAGAAGATTACAATGAAAAGCTTGATGGTTTAAGATAATAATATTTATTTGTGTCAGACATCACCAATTGTGTCACAAAATTTTGATGACATGTAGATAGCATGAACATACTTTTCCTCGCTCGAATTAAGATGCATCTCACTTTATGCAGATTGATTGTTGAGCTCAAATCAAACCCTCCATTAATATAATAATAAATATTTACCAAGATTACTATTAAAATTTTTTTTTTGATTCATTTTTTTCGATCATTTTTCCATTTAAATATTGCTAAACCATTTTTATCAACACCAACTTTTCTTCGACGTCCCTTACCCTAATATTTTTATCAAGTCGGTAGGTAACAGTGAAA